AGAAACAGAGTAAGATGAAATCCCGTTCAACATGTTAAGGTGAAAAAAACCCACAAAACCGAACAATGAATCATCAACCTAAGGTTTCTTTTTATCACTAGACTTTTTATTTTGGATGATTTCTATTCCGTGATCTTAGCAAGGTCTTACCTCAACATCCTATTTTCCCAAGAAAAATGACTGTAATCTAATTCAGACCATCAAAGATGACAGGAGAGAGGAATCCAGTACTGGGCAGCAGGAATCAGCCCAGGTCAGACAGAATGTCAGTAGTGCAGTTGCTGAGCAGGGACACAGCAGTAATGCTGTCAACGGGCACTGGTGTTGTCACTGGAGCCTGTCCCTTCTCTTCTGTCATCACTGATAACCAAGAGCAAGGAACAGCCGACCTGCACTGAACAGTAGCTCTGCAAGCTACTGCCAAGGGGTGTGAGAGAGCAGCAGTGCAAAGTTGGGATTTGGCACAGCAAAATGTGAGGGACTTGTGTACACAGCCAACCCCCATGGAAATCCACAGGGGATGGGAAGTTGATGGCTCCAGTGAAAAGCACATGAAAAACCATCTACTCCACGTGTTCACTCTTTGCAGGCATCATTGCAGGAGGGAAGAAAGGAAGGATGGATTTGGGTACATGGGCCAGTTTCATTTCTCAGTGCTGCAGCTCATCACAACTCAATTCTCTTGCTTTGTCTCTCCACTTGTAAGAGGGATCGAAGCAAGTCTGACAACTGTTCTTGTAGAACCTGCCTAGGCTCATCTTCAGCACTTCTGAAGCAAAACAAGTGCAATGTGCAAGAAAGTCAAGAAACAACCAATCAACAAAAAAAGCCCTCCAACAACCACTCCAGTATATGGAAATAAAGTTTAAAATAATCAAAAACAATTACTTGGCTTTAGGAAAAGTCGTTATGACTTAGTGACACAACATTGCTCTGAACAATGCAGCTTTTGGCTGGCTAAAACAACTAAGATCATTCCAGCTTCTTTCACCTGGAACATTCAGTGCAAAATTTTCCCTTATGCCCTTTTTGTCCTGCACCTGTTTTTCAGCAGTCCTGGTGGGAGAGAGCCGGGACAGAGGGGAGGGGAGCACACATGGATCACCAAGAGGGGCACAATTGCATCAATTTGCAACTACCTCCAAATTGCATCAGTCATTGCCTAGCAGGTACTGGGACTTCACTGAACCACACACTTCGCATTCCCAATTAAAACACGTGCATCAGGGAAAGCAGAAAGGCCAAGAAATCTGTGACAGATACATTTACACAGCAGTGATACATTCACATTACACACGATGAGCTGTGACATTCACTGCCTGTTTTTAAAATACATTTTGCCTGAGGAATAGTATCTCCTCTCTATTGTAATTCACAAAACGTTCTGCTTATACCTGGGAGTCCTCCCTGTGTCCACAGCCAACACTCTCCACCCACACAGCTCCTGCCAGCCCGTACCTGCTGCCGTTCCACAGAAGTCAGTGTTGGTGTGATGCCGACTGTCCTGGTTGCATCCATGCTGGTTTTGGTCAGTGCTAGAGGTTGATCCACACTCAAGCTTGGGATTGAGGCATATATGTGATTGGCATGAAGGCTCATTGTCGGGGCAGCTGCCCTCTCGATGGGGCTGCGACTCCTCTCCCGGTGCTCCTTCCTGTAATCCCCGTTGGAAGTCTTGTTTCTAAGGCAGGAAAGAAAAAAGGCCTTACTGTTGTTCCAAGCGCTTCTGAGATATGCAACATCAAATCCCTGTAAGAAACACCAGGAAATGCGCTTTGCTTGGGCTGTGGGAGGTGTAGAATCAATCCCCTCAGAGAGGTACCCCTGGTCTATTCAGCCTCCTTCCCTGCAAAGTGAAGCCAATCATCCCGATTTGCAACCTCTGGCAGCCAGCATTTCTCTTCACTGTAGAATTTCTTCAGATATTCATTCAGATGCACCGAGTTAAAGTGACAACTTTTTTAAGATCAGATAACTCCTCATTTAACATACTGTTAATCCCACTCCCTCTCCTAACACTGCAATATTCACTGCTGAAGCCCAAGGAAAGTTTATTTTACTGAAAAGACACAGTTGATATCAGCAAAAATGCAGTGAGTCAAGGCAGGAAGCAAAATCTTCAGAGCAGAAAATGACAGAAAAGCAAACTACACTGCACTTACCTCAGAATCACTTAATTACAGCTGCTCTTTCAAAAGAGTAATTTCAAACTACTCCTGAAAAGTAAATCCCAGGAGATGTGCTCACATAATTAGCCTATCATTCATTGCAATGGAAATAAAGCTGGGTTTGTATCTGGGGATGAGAGACTTCAGTTTCCATACAGCAGTATAATTGTCATTAAAGGCAAACCAGTGACTCAAGGGAAAGGCACTTCACTCATAACTCAGGGAAGTGTGGGTATCACTGGCAGTCTGGGGAGTACCAGTGTGGTAAGAGTTCACACACTTGCAGGGACTGGTCACTGAGTTTCAAACTGCAAACTCCATCAATCCTTCCCATAGGAAGGCACTAGAGGAGAAAGCTGGCTTTGTGCGAAATAAAACCTGTCTTCAGAAGATTCTTGAAGTACTAATGAAGTGTCCTATGTGTCCTGTGTATAAGTGGGTAAAACCCAAAGTGGTTTTCCTCCCATTTTTTAAAGCATATCACAGCAAATTAATATGCAGGAGCAACCTTTAAAAATGCTGATGAATATTACGCAGAGAGGGAAAAGGAATCAATTCAATACTGAAGTTACAAGTTCAAAAAGCTAATGGCTGTTTCAATATCTGAGGAAATGTCTCCAAAAGGAAGGCTGAGGGGAAAAAAGCCCTGCCAGTCGAGGGAAATAAGGAACCCCTAAAACACCCAAACAGGGTGTGGGGATGTCCCATGGTGATCCTGTCCTGGATCCTGTCCAGTCCTGAATCTTTTAGCCTCACCAGCATCCTGTGACCAGGGATTCCGCAGTCTAAACGACATACTTTGTTAGTACCTTTTCTTCACCGGCTATTTTTGTTTTTTTTTAACCTAAAATCTGTCTTGGTCTGCTTTGCCTCGATTCTTGTATTAGGAGAGAGACAAAGCCATTGCTCCCTGCTCATCATCTTCATGCCACTCCCAAGTTCATCTCTGTTCAACAACCTTTTTTTCCCAATGTAATACTTTATTCAGATAAAACCTGTTCCCATATCTTTGTGGCCCCTCTCAGGTAAGAGCTAGAAAAGTGATCATCTTTCTAGGGATGAGGATCCAGATCTCTGCTGTGTTGAGAAACTTCTCACAGTTCTTCAGTGCTATTGTTGAGCTTGTTTAAGAGTCACGTGGTTGTACAGAAATCTGCTATTCCTGCCTGAATCAAATTTCATTTATTGTGGTAAAGATAGGGTTAATATGATGTCAGGCAACCAGTGACTTGAGAACCTCAGGACACAGCCCTCAAGCAGATTCCCCTGGCATGCTAAGGAGGGAACAGCCAACAGCATAACAATAGGATTTGTAACCCTTTGGATCCCCCTGCTCTGCCCCCCCATCTCTTTCAACTAATTCCAAATTAGCAGTTGCAGGTCAGCAGAACCGACCAGCAGATCCAGCCTCGAAGGTCTCACAGCTGGTGCTCAAGACGGTCCCTGAACACCCTGTGTTTCCCAAACCTCTCTGCAGGCTGAATTTGGACAGCATAAAGCAGCTCAAATCCAGCAGGAATGGCTCTCCCAGCCTCGGGCCTGTTTCAATTGCACTGCTCTGCAGGAGCAGAGCTCAGCAGGAAAGTTTGGAATTGCAGCGCTCTGAGCTAATGACTGATGCAAATGTGAGTTAATGGCAGCGCCGGGGACTATATTTAACATACAGTAGCCTCCTCTTGAATTACAGTATGGAAACAGCTCCTGGACACAACCAAACCCTCCTGCCCCACCCCGAGGAAGCAAGCGGGGAACTTCAGAAATAGCACAGCAGCCATGAGATATCCTGGGAAACAGCAACACGGAAAGCCACGGCAAAAAATCACGGTTTAAATGAAGGCTGTGTAGGGATGGCTTGTTCTCCGTCCTGCAATGAAGAATCTTTGGCGGCTGCAAGCCAAATTCTTACTTTTCAACAAAATATTATCTGGTCTACTACAATTTAAATGACCATTTGGAGGTTGCAAAACCACCTACAGCTCCAGCACATTCCTACTTTTCACTCCCTCAAAGAAAAGAATAATCTCTGTTCAGAATTTTTCTGTTTTAATAAGCACAAGTTGATTTTCAAGGGAAAAATTTAGTTTCCTCCACCAAAAATACTTGTAAAATGAGTCAAAAAAATGTAGCTACACCAGTTGTTTGGGGGTTTTGTCTTATAACTCACTTTTCAACAACTTAGTGCTGCATTTACTGGGGAGTGGGGCTGTCAAGTGACCACTGATGAACAAACTTACTGAAATTTCCAAGCAAAACACATTTTCCATTTTACACAACAGCACCTATTTCACTCATCCTCACTTTAAACAAAAAGTCACAGCCCTAAATAGGGGTGAAGTGGTAGTTTTGCTGCCCCCAAAACACCCAAACCAACAAAAAACCAAACAAAAACCCCAACTCTTAACAAAAGACAAAACACAAAAAAACCCCAACAACACTTTCCTGCAAAGATTTTTGGAAGGGACCAAGAAACTGGGCAATGAGATCAGCCTGATGCCATGAACAAGCACAGCAGGCAGACTTTCCCTAAAGACACCTAAAATTATTGAGTTATCTCAGCAATCTCAGCAGGCGCACCCCAGTCCTGTCTGTAAGCAAATAATGTCCTCTTCCTAAATTAGAACAACTCCTCTTCTGGCCAGGGAACTGTTTTATACTCCACTCTTCAAAGATCCTCTCCTCAATTCATCTACCTTCAACTATATAGTCTTTGAAAAAAAAAGAAAAATATCTGAAGCTTCTATTTCCACATCAGATATTATTTTTTCTGAGCCCAGCTGGAAATGTTACAGCACTGTGTAGGACAGTAACATGATAGCTCTGCCCTTGTGAAAATACACCAGCACTTGTTAGTCCCTCCTATTTAAATATAAACAGCAAATCCTACAGATATCCGACTCCACTTGTAAGACAATTGTACTTAAAATTACTTATAGGGTATTCATCAATTTCCCATTATTAAGTCATTTTAGTTTAAAATGACACTTCAGAAATAATTTTCTATTAGAAATGGAAAATTTTTTACAATTTCAAAATTATTAATTATTACTATTGACATAAGTCATTCTTGTTTTGCTATTAGACACTTTATCTGAGGGGGCAGCAAAACTGCATGTGTATGAAGATAATTACATTTCACTGAAGTCCATCAGCTTAAACATTCCACCTGCACTGAACAAGGAGAAATGCATCCCTTAGGTCAAACATAAGGGCAGAAAATTACAAAGAAGGATTTCTGACCAAGTTTGAAAAAGAACTTAAAAATATATATCACAAATAAATCTAGCTGTCTAAACAGCTTTGCCATCCCCAGACTCCACTTTATCTTAAAAACCAGCATATGCAACCCTGGGCTCCACGTGCAGTGCAACTCTACTGGCTTAAAAAATAGCAATTCCCACGGTGAGACCATCAGTCATATCCACCACCCTTCCTCCCTGCTAACACAGGTAATTCCAGCTACTTGCAGGTTTATTTTAGCAAAATTACAATTCCAACCTAAAATTAATTTCTCCAACACTTGAAAAACAGACAATTGTTTCCCATGTTGCTTCCCAATGAATCATAACCCGGACTCCAGCACTTACCAAGCATCATGTGCTCGGGTGGATGTCATACCAAAACCACACACATCCTGACTGGAATTCTGCTGCAGTCTGGTTCTAAAGAAATTTCTACTGAAAGCAATGCTCCAGCCCTCCTCAGAACCAGCTCAAAGGGACTCAAATGCATTGTTTGCATTTTTTGCTGCAGACCCTTTAGCCGCGGCTGTTCTGTTCGCTGGCACTGAGCGGGGGTAATTCACACTCTGCTACGGGAACAAGAGAACTCTGCCAGCTGCTTAAGGAAAAGGGAAAAAAGAGGCCCAGTGAAGGGGACAGCTTTGCTTGCACTCACTTTCAGCCTGCAGATCCTTAAGGAACAGTTGCCAAAAGCATTACTGTACCTCCAAGAGAAGAAATCACACTCTCTTTGGCAGAACCAGAGCTCTGACTTGAAATGGTTGCACAGGGGAGTGTGTTGCACAAAGAACAACTATGCAAAATGTTTTCTTTACACAAATACAATGCATAATATTGCTTGGGAGTAAACTTCCATTTGTGTAACAAGTCAAATATGATTTAAATATTTTTAGCATCTTTGTAATATTTATTTTCTAACATCTTTTATTGTCTTTATTCATTAACTCTGAAGTCTGAAAGAGGACAGTTGCTTTTGTTAAAGATTGCTTAAGGATCTATAATCCACTGATACTTAATATCTGCTCCACATGACAGGGATCATTTCCTGTGAAAGTATCTACTTTTATCTACATTACTTGTGTTACTGTGAGGTGGGAAAACTAGAATTTAAGATGGTATTTCAAAATACAATGATGCATATGCATAGGGAAAAATCCGGAGTGTTCTTTACTCAGATTTTTTTTAAGCAAGCTGAATTGACTTAAAAAAAACCCCAACAACCCAAATAAAACCTGAAAGTAATATCACTTTGCTCTGTCAGTCAATCATCTGAA